TTAGAGGGTGGGGTCACCGAGGCTAGGGTTAGGTGAAGGGGGAGAATCTGAAATAAATATCAGATAAGAGCAAGCATTAATTCAAGGATCCATGAATCAAATAGGTAATAATATCGGATTAATCGGCTAAGTGCATGCTCTGATGGTCTAATGAGTGGTATTGATGAATCAGAACCATTGAATACTTTCTCGTTAGAATACTGACGAACCAGGACCAATAGCATCGTTGATATAATCCACCGAATACTTCCATGTTAGAAATAGATTAGTACTAAATACATTATATCTTTTACTGTTTCATGTTTACAAGACAAAAGTATTGTTCTCAGAGCTTTTAATACAAGTCTGATAAAAGATTAGGCGTTCCTGTGGTGAGCTTTCCAGAGGAGAGACTGAAAATAGAACGCCGAACCCGGAATATAAACGGCGGTTACACTAGACTGCTACTGGTCCCAAACGTAACAGTCGTAGACCGTGGGGCCTACTTGCTGTTTTTTAGGAGAAGGAAGCAGATGTGACGAGTCACGAGGATCGGAAACTCGGGCTTGGCCGTTTCTCACCGCGTGGTCAAATAAACGTGGTTTGGTAGGAGGCATAAAGAGGGGAAGGTGAGGTGAAGTAATGCTCGATGAGGTGCGAGGAGGGATACACCTTTTATGGTTCTTATTTGGTTGGAGAGGGGGTGAGGAGAGATACGTGATGATACATGACTTTGACTTTCTAGTTCATTTTTGCATCTTCGCTATCCTCACTCTCGTGTCCCTTCAAATTGGAGAGATTTTCTCTCTTCATCTTCTAGTTCATTTTGCATCTTTTCCTCTCTCTTCCCCTCGCCTTATCTTACTCTACTTCACCTTGCTTTCACTTATACATCCCCACTTGTTTTTGTTAGCACTTATATACTCTAAAATTCTAAGATTTGTGCTTGTACCCTTAACATTTATAAAACTTACACTTATGCCTGCTAGTTTGCATAACTAAGCGTATGTAAGTGCGAATTTTAAAAATATATGACATGCAAGCATAAAAAACTTAAAGGATATATGAGCGCTACTAAAACAAGTCGGGATACGTAAGTGCAAGTTTAAAAATTTTAGAGTATGTAAGTGCTACCTAAGATGAGGGTACGTGAGTGTAAAGTAGGGAAAACTATAGGCTATTTAAGCCCATTTAAACCATAATCGTGTGCCAAGTGCTACAAAAACATCAAACAACAGTTTGATACACATTAACTATGTGAATAACTCGTACACCTCAAAAGCAAACGTACATACTGAATAACTCATACACCTCTAAACGTATATATTATACAGTAAAAAATGGTCAAAATAAAACAAAGTTTTCTCAAATTACAGTGCATCAGCTTGTTTACAAAGTTAAAGTTACATCAAGATCAAAATATTCTTACTACAGAACATGCATGATCCTTCTTAATCTACAACCGTTAAAACACAAATTTTACATTAAATTTCAATACACAACACAGAGCATATATAGAAATCAACTTACCAAAACGATGCGGTTTACTTTTGACAAAGATAAAGAGAATGTATGCCTCATACAAACATAAGATTAATCTCCCAGAAGGCAGAGAGGTTGCCTCATACTGAGCTCAGCTTTCAGCCTTGGATATCTCTCCAAATCGTTCGAAGTCGCCAACACTTTCTGCAATGTATGAATAATATGACTATCACATGAATGTTTTATTTTTGGTATAATAGCTAACAAGCAATAATGCAGCAGTATCATTGTGAAAACAATGAAAAAGTAGTTTAAATAGTTGCTTTAAACATACACCATATCTGACCACTTGGAACAAAAATGCACCGGTCAATAGCAAAAAACAATGATTTACGCTGCATACCTAGCCGTTGAAATACAAATTTGATTTAAAAACAATCTGATTTCTTATTTTGTGTGTAGGAGTGAAGTAAGTGGGTATTACTGTGAAAACAATGAAAAAAAAGTTTAAATATTTGCTTTAAAAATACACCATATCTGACCATTTAGAACAAAAATGTATCAGTCAATAGCAAAAAACAATGATACACTGCATACCAAGCCGTTGAAATACAAAATGGATTTAAAAGTAAATCGATTTACTATTTTGTGTGTCAGAGTGAAGTGAGTGGGTTTAGAAATAAACAGGCGTCCAACTTGAGTTCATAGACAAAAAAAATATCTTTTCTTAGAGGGGATTGGGTTTAAAAATAAATAAGGATAATATTTTAGGTTTACAAGGCTAAAAGTTATCTACATGATGCCACATTATTATTGTGATAAAACTCAAAAAAATAGTGCAAGCATTTGGTTTAAAAATACACCTTATTCCTAATAATTTATAATATATATATATATATATAAAACCATTGTGGGTCATTGGATCTATCTCATCCAATGGTTGAGATTAGAGCTTATACTGCAGTGAATCTAGATTCAGTGATAGCAATAAATGCCATTATTAAAGAGTGCAATAAATTTGTCTACCATTAAAGAGTGCAATAAATGTCATTATTCTTCAAAAAACAAACACCTCACATAACTGAATCTAGATTCACTGCAATAAATGTCATTATTCTTCAAAAAATAAACACCTCACATAACTGAATCTGGATTCACTCATACGTGTCTTCGTTTTTTCAACTGGAAATCCTCACCTTATATATGAGTGAATCCAGATTCACTATAGTGAATCCAGATTCACTGGAGTGAATCAGATTCACTGCAGTGAATCCAGATTCACTGCAGTGAATCCAGATTCACTGCAGTGAATCCAGATTCAGTTATATGAGGTGAAACTGGATTCGCTGGATTGAATCTGGATTCAATCCAGTGAATCTAGATTCATTGGTTGTTTGTTGCCCCTATTTATTGCACTCCGTATAATAATGACATTTATTGTACTCTTTAATGGCATTTAGTGCAATAAATAGGTTTTTAATTTTTAGGCTAAGGAGGTTTTTATTAGAACCTCACCCATATATATATATATATATATATATATATATTATTCATATTTGAGAGGTTCTAA